AAATGAAATTGCCACTTCAAGGAAAAACTGAAATATTTCTTACCAATGAAGAAGTTTGAGTTTTCAAGAGAAAATCAGAATTTTGGAAAACTTGTATTTACCACCATGAGCTCTCTATAACTTCTCAATAGCTGGACATTCCTGATAGATCAGTGGGATATTAATGAATGTGGTATTTAGACATTGCATGATAAAACATGTCAACATTTGGAAAATATGCATAACTGAGTGAACCCGTTTTTTTCAAATGACCAGTGCGTGCAAAATATACCCTCAAATTGCTAGATAGACCCATGAATTTTATCGCAAGAGAATATGCAAAGTTCATTGATATGATTCCATATTTGACATGTTTACAACTAACCTTTAAGAAATCTTTGTAGAGTTTTGTGTTGTATTAAAAGAAGAACATCCACAATTCTGAAAAGCCTAGCATGATACCCTTAATAGATACAATCAGCATGAACTAAAGGTCGTTGGTGTTCTATATAATAATTTTTAAGAAAACTGCTGTTAGAGTAAATACAAGAATGGACTGTGGAGCTATATTGCTGGGATTTGGTTCTTGACTTTATTGTTAATTAGTTGTGGCTTTTGGCAAGTTAATCTCAGTTTCCTCATGTATAAAATGAGGGTGATAATGATAGCAAGGGTTTATGAGGATTAAATAAATTAATAGACATGAAGTACTTACAGTTGTGCCTGGAATATGGTATGCTTTAGATTTATCATTCTTGTTACTTCTGTGAAAAATGAAGATTTTGCTCTCTAACATCTCCTAGCCATACCTGTCCCAACACTTTACTCTTTGCCATTCCTTCCCATACAGTCAATTAAAATTTTTTGTTTAAATTACTGTTTAGTGTGCATATTTAACCATGTAGATATTTACTACAAACTGCTAGTGTGTTATGGTCATATTTCCTTTCTTGCACAACTTTTGTGTTTCCTGTAGTAAATAAGTACTTCTTTTTGGGGGGGCTTGGTCTTTTAATTTATCATATAATCTTATCCCCAAACTTTTGACAGACTTGTAAACCTTAAGAGTCTATGGATTCTTTTCTTTTTTCTTGGTGTCCTTTGTCTTCTCCCTCCTGTTGGTCTGGTTGCCACTAGATTTGTTGGGTAGCTGTCATTTTGTGACTTCCTTTCACCATCCTTGGTAATTCCCTTTTCCCCTCTGATTTGGATTCCTTTGATTTCATATCTTTCTCTTTTCTTGGTTTACTACCTCATTTTTCTGGACCCTCTGCATATCTCATGAAGGTTATTTTACCAGCACATTTGAGTTATAGATTGTTTTAGTATCATAATCTAGGTTGGATGAAGACATTGCTCCATTGTATTTTAGCTTACAGAACTGAAGAATCCTGTTCATTTATTCAGTCAACACATATTTTGATTCCCTATCCTTTATGTGTCCTGCTTTTTCAAAAAATTAAAATATAGTTAAAATATATTAGTTTCACATTAACAAGCTGGCTAGTTAACTTTTGTTTACCTAATGAAGTGATCACCACGATAAGACTATTAACTGTCTGACACCCTACAAAGTTATTACGATATTACTGACTGTATCTCCTATTCTGTACATTGCATCGCTGTGACTTATTTATTTTATAATTGGAAATTTGGACTGCTTTACTCTCATTCGCCTTTTTCTGCCCTTCCCCTCTGGCAATTATCAGTTTGATCTCTTGAGTCTTTTTCTGTTTTATGTGTTTGTTTTTATATTCCACATATAAGTGAATTCATACAGCATTTGTTCTTCTGTCTTATTTCACTCAACATAACACTCTCTAGGTCCATCCATGTTGTTCCAAATGACAAGGTTTCATCCTTTTTTATAGCTGAGTAATATTTCACTGTGAGACAGAAAGTGTGTGTTTGTCTGTGTGTCCCTGTGTCTGTGTGTAGATTGCTTCCATATCTTGACTATTGTAAATAATGCTGCAGTGAACATAGGAGTGTGTATCTTTTTCAGTTAGTGTTTTGGATTTCTTTGGACAGATACCCAAAAGTGGAATTGCTGGGTCATAAGGTATTTCTATGTTTATTTTGAGGAACCTCCATAGTGTTTCCATAGTGGCTGTAGCAATTTGCCATCCCACCAACAGTGCATGATGGTTCCTTTTTCTCCACATCCTCACCAAAACTTGTTGTTTGTTGTCTTTTTGATAATAGTCTGACAGGTGTGGGGTGATATCTCATTGTGGTTTTGATTTGCATTTCCCTGATGATTAGTGATGTTGAACACCTTTTCATGTATTTGTTGGCTATCTGTTTATCTTCTTTGGAAAAATGTCTTATTGAGATCTTCTGCCCATTTTGTAGTTGTATTGTTTGGTTTTTTGCAATTGAGTTGTAGGAGTTCTTTATATATTTTGGGTATTAGACCCTTACCAGACATAGAATTTGCACATATTTTCTCCCTCTTGGTAGACTTCCTTTTCATTTTGTTGATGATGTTCTTTGCTGTGTGGAAGCTTTTTAGTTTGGTGTAGTCTCACTTGTTTATTTAGGCTTTTGTTGCTTTTGCTTTGATGTTAGATAAAAAAGTCCACCAAACTAATGTCAAAGAGCTCACCGCCTACTTTCTCATGGAGCTTTATGCTTTCAGGTTTTAGGTTCAAGTCTTTAATTAATCCATTTTGAGTTAATTTTTGTGTATGTGGAA